CTGTCTGCTTGCTTCCCTTCTCTCTCTCCTTTTTCCTTCAGTGCTAGGGGTCAAGCCCAGGGCCTCATGGGTGCTAGGCAAGTGGCCTACTGCTGAGCCATATTCTCAGCCCCTTAATTTTCGTTTTAAGTTGAAATTTTGAACATTTTAAAAGAAACTTGAATGTTTCCCCTTGTGAGTTTTAAAATTCACATCTTTTCCTGTTTATCTACTGGAAATCCATTAAGCTAATGGCCTCAAGAGTGTCTCAAATATAATAAATTTTCTGTTGTTTACGTGCATACCAAATAGTTTAATGTATGCCAGACTTTGTTAATAGTCTGAGCAAAACAATGTAGTTGCAAACTCCAAGAGCTAGAGGGACTCTTAGATATCGTGTTCATTTCTAACCCATGGAAACTGAGATCCCACCCCAAATTACACAGTTGGTAATTGACTTTAGGGAATTGTAGTTAAATTGAACAAAATTAGAGCTCTGTGGATATTGTTGCTTCGCTACTACGCCACATATCTCCTCCTTCTCTTGCAGATTTCCTTGCACTGCTGCCTGGCCTTTACACTGTGCTTTGGGACTTTTTCTTTGTTCAAGGGACCAATGGCTCATTCCGTTCCTTTGGGCATGTTAATTGGTTTAGGGGGGTGACCGTGTCAGCCAAGCTGATCCAGCCAGTAGCTTAAACAATATTTTTTTTTTTGAGGTAGAGCTTGCTATGTAGTAGTACAGGCTCACTTCAGACATGCTTGGTAGCCTCGTCTGGCCGGGAACTCTTGATCCTCTTGTCTCAGCCTGCTGAGTATTGGAATGACAGGCATCGCCAGCATACCTGGCCTAAATTTTTATCTCCATTAAGTTGTAAGTATTTAAACATCTTAAAAGTTACTTTCAATATTTAATCTGAGTTACTGTGTATTTAGTTTTCAAACATGAGATTTTGAAGTAATCTTTTTGTCATGAAGATATTTATGGCTTTTATTAATCTCTGTGAATATTTTTAGGTTTTGCTTCAGAATATTGATGAGTTCAGTTACAGGGTAGTGCTTTAGACACTGTTGAGGATAGTTAAAATATATACACGTGCACACACATCGATTTACCTTTCTAAAATCTGAAAAATTCTAAATTATGAAACCCTCCTAGGCTCAGGGATTATAGATTTGTGTTACTCTGTCCTGTGATTCTTGTTACCATTGTTACGTGTTTTGATATCTAATTAAATCCTACTCTTACATTTTTTTAGTTTTCTGCTCCTCTGGAAGTTTTTGGCCTTTTTTCTCCCCCTTTGGAATATTTTTGTTTGGTAGTCTTAAATTTTCTAGGAATGTGTTCTTTGGTTGTTTGGCTCTTTGCGCCCTACAGTCTTGATTTTTTTAAAAATGTTAACTCTAGGGAAGCTAGCTTCATTATTTCTGGAAACATTTCTTAATTTGAAATGTTTCATTTTTTTCCCTCCTTCTGGAACTCCTGTCTGTGGGATTTGAACTCATGCTTCCAGGGAAGACTTTGACCTAAACTGTCTCTTAGCCCATACTGAGTATTTATACTTGGTCTTTTGTTATGGTTTCTGGTTTTGGTTGGATATCATCGTTGTCAGCATCATCACCGCTTGGCTTCTTAGGGATTCATTCTTGGATCATTTCAGTAATTCTGCTTCAGATGGTATAAATTGTTTAGTGTGTTATCTTTCTCTTACAATATAGTAGTTTTATGCTCCAGATTTGTATATTTTGGGTATTAACCTCATGATCAGTTGGGGAGGGGAATATTAGTCACTTAATCTAATAGTCTATATTAGGGAGTTTGTATTAGTCCAGATGAGTTTGAGAGGGACTTGAATCTTAGGTCCCATAGTGACCTGGCATCACTGAACTTCTGTTAAATTCTGTTGGTTGCTACTCTCCCAGGCAATTTACAATCAAGATTTGGGGGGGGGGTTCTTTTTGGGACAGGTTCTCACCATGCAGTTCAGTTTGGCCTTGAGCTTACTTTATAGCCCAGGCTGGTCTCAAACTTGCAACGATCCTCCTGCCTCAGCCTCCCAAGTCCTAGGATTACAGGCATCCACCACACCCAGCCAAGATTTTTAATCTCTTAAAAATAAGCAGTCTAGGTTGAACATCCATTCCTACTGTAGTGGCTTCCCATTGGCAACAGAAGGGTTAAAATCCTGAGTAGGAACTCCACTAAAGCCACCTTGTCCAGTTCTACCCAGTAGTTGTAAGACAGTGTGGCAACAGTGATCAGAACTACAGAACATAAAAAACAAACCTTTGGTACCCATTTGTTCCTCTCTATGAGCCCCAGCCTTTCTTCTCTAAAAATTATTATTAATTTTTAATTTTAAAGAAAAAGACAATAAACAAGGAACAACCAAAAATTCTAAAACAGCCGGGCATGGTGGCTCACTCCTGTAATCCCAGCACTTGGGAGGCTGAGGCAGGAGAAGCATTGTGAGTTCGAGACCAGCCTAGTCTACAAAATGAGTTCAAGGCCAGCCTGAACTGCATAGAGAGACCCTGTCTCAAAAAAGACAAAAAAAAAAATTCCAAAACAGTATGATAGGAGGGTAACAATGGTTAATACATCGTGTATTGTTATCTTAAAATTAGTTACTCAGGGTACAGGATACCAGCATTTAATTGTCCAAAAAATATTAGTGCAGACTTGTCTTTTCAGTGAACTGAGAGAAATTAGTAGTGTAACTATTTGAACTATCTCTGTGTGTGTGTGTGTGTGTGTGTGTGTGTGTGTGTGTGTGTGTGTGTGTATTTCTTCGCCTTCCCTTTTGGTCTTCCCTTCCTTCTTTTTCCCATTTGCCCAAACCAGTTTCTCTTCCCTTTTGAAGTTTCTTCCCATTTTACAATGTCTGTTATACATTTTGGGTCTTATTTATTCTTTTGTCTTTTCACACTAGTGAAACAATACGATGTTTACATATTTGCACCTGGTTTATTTCAGTTCTCTAAAAATTAATTGTGTAGATTTCTTCATCTGGCCTTTTGTAAGCCAGAGAAGTTGGTAGTGTCAAATTACAACTTTAAACATAATTTTAGATACAGTGCTTGTACGGATCTACCAGGTACTAAATGATGTGGGAAAAAAGACATTGTTCAGATAATCATATTTGCTGCCTAGACTTTTGGGCAGTGTCTTCAGACCTCTGTCAGAACGCTGGTCGCCTTGCTCAGGGTTTCACCTCGACAGCACAGGTTCTCTCTTGGCAGTTCGCCTGCTGCCCTTCTTGGTAGCGTGCTCCTGCCTGAGTAACTCCTGCCCTTACACTTACCCTTGCCGGGTAAAGACTTCTTACCACCTGCCTCGCTGCCAGCATCCCTGGCCCTCCTACCGCACAACGTCTTGGAGTGCATCTCTTCCAAAAATCGGGAATGCGCTCATATCCCAGACGTTTGAGTGCTGATCTGATGCTCAGATAACTTTGGATTTTGGAGCGTTTCAGATTTTAGGAATGCCCATCTTTGAGAGTTCATGCAAATACTCCAAAATCTCAGAATCTTCAAAATCCGAAACGGTTCTGGCCCCAAGCATTTCAGCCTGAACTGGGAAGAAGTGGTCTCCGTAGGTTGTAACTCACCGCAGGGCGTGCACGAGTAGAGCTGGACGGGTGAGTGCCGCATGCGTCCCTTGTCAGCAGGAACCTGTTCTCTTGACCTTCTCAGAGGGCTTTTGGGCTACCCTAGGTTCATCCTGTTGACGCAGACTTCCAGGCTGTTGCTGCTCATGTCTGTGGTGACCTGGACACATAGGAAAGGCAAGGCTAGAATGCTAAATTTTTTTAGCTAATCTTTTAACTCCTGCCGCTGTTACCCTGTGTATGGTTCTAGCTCTAG